GGTACATCTTGATCTCACTGAAGGATTTTTGATGTTCAGGTTCCCATCTGAATCCTTCTTCTTTCTTTAATCGTAGCAAAGGCAAAAAAACTTTTGTCTTGTTACTTAGATTCAAGATGAACCTTCTTAAGAAATTTATCTTCTTAAGAAAATATTGGAGTTGTTTTTTATTTGATGGAGGCTTTGTATTGAATATGACATTTGTTTTATTTTGGTTTATCACTATTCCTTTCTTGTGAACTATAAAACCCAGGAAGTCCATGTCTTCTTATCCTTTCAAAGGACTGTCGAAGGTGGTCTAAGTGACCATTTTTTAATGAGGATATAATAAATATATCATCAATGCATACCTACATAAAGGTCTCGATAAAATCATGAAACATATGATTCATTTCTCTTTGGTATATTGCACTAGCATTCTTTAAGCCAAAAGGAATTACAACAGGGCATCGAAATGCTGTTTTTGACACATCTTCATCTGCAATAAAAATTTGGTTATATCCAGAATAACCCTTTAAAAGACTTACATACTCAAATCCTGCTGCTAAATCGACTAGCATTTCTGCCACAGGCATATAATATTCATATTTTGGAGAAGCTATGTTTAGGACTATAAAGTCTATACAGCTTTGAGTCCCATTATTTTTAATCACAGGGACAATATTTACTAACCATTCAACATACCTGGCTGTTCTTATGAACTTTTTTTTGAGAAGCCTTTCGATCTCCTATTTGATTTATGACATTATTTTTAATACAAACCTTCTTGGCATATGTTTCACCGGTCTCTTACCAGGTCGAATTGGTAGTTTCAATTCCACCAAATCTCAATTGAGTCCTGACATTTCATCATAATCACAAGCAAAACACTCTTTGAATTCTTTTAGTAGCTCAATTATTTGGGACCCCAGACTTGCTCAATCTTGGCACTTACGAATGTTGGCGTTTTGATTGTTCCATTTTCCAAATCGACCTTCTCCAAAGGATCTTGGGCTTGAATCCTCTTGTTTGACACCAAAGGATCTTTCTTGAATCCTAAAGGGTTTATCATCATAGATGAAGTTGAACCTCAGACTGTTTACAACTGGATCCACACCACTTTTATCCTTTCCATTGATTTCAACTATAGTGGCTTCAACAACCATATTTTGTTGAAATTCGGCATCTAAGGCCTTCGTTATTCTATTTTCACTCATATAGGCCACAAAAACGAGCAAGTGCGCTCGACTCAGTCATTTTTATCCTCTGACTCTGACCATCCATTATGTCCTTTGATGGTCTTATAATCCCACATGAATCCATGTGTGAAGTGTAACTTTATTGAATAATATACATCTTCCTACAAGTAAAATCCTGTTCCAACAGGTGCACATGGCAAAATATTCGCCAATTGTTTGTCAAAGTTTCTCTTATCTATGTGGTTCACATCAGCTAAGCAATAAATTTGATCTGTTTCAATGTTCTCCAAAATCGCATCAGGTTTCCAAATTGTGATTTTCAGATGCATTGTCGAAGGGTCTTCTCCTGCCCGATAAATCCATTTTCAACCACAGAGTATGTTATAATTCACAAATAAGGTTGGTTAGGAAGTGGTCCCTACTATAACATCCACTTATGTAACCCCTAGATGTTTACTTGTCTTTACTTCATAGTTTGATTAAACCATGTTGTGGGGGTATCAAGTCAGTGTCTTACTTGCCAATTTTCCTCATCAAAGAATGTCACATTGTGTCAATGCAAGCCCCACCATCTAGTGAAACTTTATTTATCCCTACATTCTCAACCCTAGTCCTTATGAACCTTCAAGTGTTTTTGCATTTCCATATTAGGACTTTCAAAGACAACCTTATCTTTATCGACACACCTATCTTTCATCATATAATAACACAGAGGTTTGTGAGTTGGAATTTCTTCAGCCAATCCATCGTCCTCTTCATTCACTTCGGTGACAGTATCATATTCTATGGGAAAAACAAATATTATGTTATAAGTTATATCCAATTCAGATTCAGAACCTGAATCAAATTTATCTGTAGCCATGTCTTCGTCTTCGTCTAGTGTGGCCTTCTACTTCTTGTATTCCGCCACAAGGGGGTAAATGAGGGAATAATCTCTACTTCATAGGTGTCACATCGCGAAAAAATATGACCTATAAGCGCGTCAAACGCTCGCGGATGATTAAACATAGTCGCCACCGAAATTTATTTATTCTGAAGAAGGAAAAGGAAAATATCGATAAAACCCTCAAAAGAAAGAGAAAATGATCGTCACAACCGAATTCGAGTTCGAGAATTGACTATGTGAGGGGAAGGTATTAGTACCCCTCACATCCGTTGTACTCAACGGGAACCATTTAATTATATTTGAGATTTGAATGTTAGAATACATTATTTGCTTTCTTCCAGTGATTAAAAGTTCAAAAGGAAACAAAATCGTAAAAATATTTTTATTCAAAGTGCTTGACAAGATTGCGGGTCTCACTCCTACGTATCCTCAGGTGCAATGAGGAATTCAAAGAAACATATTTCTTCGTAGAAAACTACATATTCGTTGGTTGATTTTATTTGAAAGTAGATTTAGATCATGCTCTAGCAGTTTCGATGAGGTTTGATGTCCATATCTTTTAGTTGTCCGATCAAATAGGCCATATTGATCTCCATAGCCTTAGCCTCACCTTCTTTGTAGTCTTGTTGTAAGGCCTTGTAGATCTTATTTTCTCCAGAAAGATCTTTACTCATTCTTGTTGATTCATCGTATAAGTAGTGGTTCTTCAACTTGAGATGGAACTTCCACGGTCAATATTGCAGGGATTTAATTACATAATATTGCAGGAACTTCCACCTTCTAGAAGGGACCTGTGTACATAATATTGCAGGAACTTCCACGATCAATTGTTATTCTATATACGTCAAAATTGGAGACCGCGGTCGTGATGACCATAAGGAAGATTTCATTGGGGACTTCTTCGACCTTCTCGCTATCTTGAAATCCGAGGATAGGTCTCTCCAGGCTCTTGGTGGAGGTACTTCCTTCCTTTTTGCCGATTGTTATCAACTCAATAATCTTTGTCTTTACTATGTTTTTTGATTGATTGCTTTCTCTTTAGGCGCCTCCCATAGTGAAAGCAATGTACTAATGCTCCCCCTTGTGCACATTATCTTACACACTACTTTCTTCCTTTCCTTTGTTCCTGAACACAACTTCAACAACTTTATTAGGGGATGCTTCCTCTTTGGAGAATCCTTCCGGCCCCTCCTATTGTCCTTGGTGTACATGTACAACCGCCTCTTGATCAATCATTCAATTTCATCCATTAACTAGATGTAATAGTTGGTTTTATGGTCATGACTCTTATGGAAATGAGAGTACTTGAACTTATCAATCTGCGTAAACTTTAGAATCCTTCCATCCAATATGCGAGTGGTGAGAGGGTTCTTCTTCTGAAGTTGAGCGAGGACCTCTTGTTTATTCCTTTCTCTAAATCCTCATTGTTATTTAATTTTCTATTAAAATTTTTTTGTGAAATTAAATCAATATCAAAATATTCAACAAGAAGACATTAATTCTTTTGAACATTATGCCAAAAGTTTCATTAATTTACAATGCAACAAAAAATGGGGTACAAATCCGCCATTTTATCCTTAAAAAGCCGTAACCATTTCAGGTGTGAAAAGAATATTGTTGCCAACTTCTTCTTTAGGGACTCATTTCGACCCTTTTTTCCGTCCTTTGGTGTACTAGCACAACCACCCTCTTCTTGATTAGCCCTTCAATTGCATCTTTCAGTTGGATGCAATAGTTGGTGTTATGCTCGTGAATCTTATAAAAACAAGAGTACTTGGACATATCATTTCGCGGAGACTCTCTGACTGGATATCGAATCCTTATCCCGACTTCCTTGAACTCAGTATTTGCACACTCCTTCGAGATCCTTTCTTGTGAAGTGTTCAAGGACCGTATGAGTAAAACTCTTTGTATGGTGCTCGACCAGATCCAGTGTTTCACAGTACTCGACTACCTCCATTGACCCATAACTTTTCTTCATAGTTGATGTAGTGTTGCGCCTTACTTAACAAGTCCTTCAAGTTGTGGGTCTCATTACACCTTAATTTCTCCCGAAAAACACAACCCAGTTTAAGGCCCTTTTCGAAGATACATGACTTTAGGCTCTCTTTTGAACCTCCAATACCCACTAGGACCTTGGTAAAGCGGTCGATATATGCACGCATGGTCTCTTTCTTACTCCGCGTGATCCTGCTAAAAACAACCACGATAGCTGGTTGTCTTTTCCTAGCGGTGAAATGGGTGGTAAAAGCCTCACACAATTCAGACCAAAAATCTATGCTTATGTTCGAGAGGGACTTATCCCAGTTGGACAAACTCGGCTAATATTAGTGCAAAGAGCTTGCACTTCACGTTTCCATCGGTGTGGTAGTAGTTCAGTCGGTCGTCCACATGCTCAACGTACTTGTCTGCATCTCCATTTCCATTGTGATTCTGGAGCTTTTTAAGCCTCCCCAAAAACTTCAGAATCTTGCCATTCAATATGCAAACAGTCAGATGATTCTTCTGCAGATTGAGCGGGGGCCTCGTCTTTATTCCTTTCTCTCATTCCTCATTGTTATTTAATTTCCTATTCAAACTTTGTTGTGAAACTAAATCAATATCATAATTTTCAACATGACATTAATTCTTTTGATCATTAAAACCGAAAGTTTCATTAATTTACAATGCAACAAAAGGGGTACAAAATCCGCCATTTCTATCCTTAAAAAACCACAACCATTTCAGGTATGAAATGAATATTGTTGCCAACTTGCCATTGTTCACACTTTATTACGCACACTCACTCACTTTTAAAAGTCTTCACAAAAAAGGTAAATACTAAACATAATCAAAGATACATATATGCATATTACAACAACAAGATAAACATGAATCGATTCAATATCTGAAATCACTGTGCTTCTGTCAAATTCTCTTTGAATCCAAACGTCCACCTAGTAACCGGACCACGACCAAAGAGCGTGATGATGATCATCCTCTTGAAATCCATAACCAGACGAGTTATGATGCGGGTTGGAGTAATGAACATCTTCAAGTTTTGTGAAGATGTTATAAGGAGGCAACAAGTTATCTTCATCATCTTGTGATAGGTCTGATTGATATTCGGGTTCAAATACATTTCTCTGCAACACTCTATCCTTGTAACATGGACTGTCACAATCCAATATGTCACTCCTTGCTGAACTTATATCTTCTTGTCTATTATTATTATGATTACTTTCATTACAAGCCTCAACAATTGACAATTTTGATCCTTCACCCTCAGAAATTGAATCAACCAATGGCTTATTCATTACTGGTTCCTGCAATAGTTTCTTTGTTTCACTTTCCCTCTCTTGATTCTCTCTTGCAAGTACTTTTTCAGAGAGACTTTCCACCTATATTGAAAACCACAACAACAAAAATTCACATGTTATCAACTGAACTGGCTTAACGAGATTTTTACAAAAATTTTATTCAGTAAAGTATACCTCAGATTGTAACCTTTGCTTCTCCTTGAGGAGGTTATCATAATCAGTCTTAAGAGACTCATAACTATCATTAAGAGATTCATAATCCTTCTCAAGCTGTTTGTTCTTCCATCTTGCACGACGGTTCTGAAACCAAATAGCAACTTGCCGTGGCTGCAAACCAAGATCTTTAGCTATCTTGGTTTTCCTATCTGGTTCAAGCTTGTTCTCAACCTCAAAGCTTTTCTCAAGAAACTGAACTTGTTCTACAGAGAGACGCCGCTTCTTCTCCGATTGATGAAAGTACTCGTCCATCTCATCATCTCCGTTTTCATCTAGATCGAATCCGTTGAAGAGATAGTTGTTGCACCTTTTCTTTCCTCCTTGAACATCTTCAAAACTCACCATAGTTCTTGATCCTAAACAACCACAAACAAAGTAAATATCATCAACTAGTTGATAAAACTCCATATATAAAATAGTCAACGTTTAAAGATAACTAACCGAAGAAAGGAAGAGAGGAAGAAAGAAAGAGAGAATCAAGAGGTTGTTGAGAAGTGTTTTGTTGTTGATTATGATTATGAAACAAAGTATTCATGTTTGAATTATTTGCAGGAGAATTTGTGAAGAGTCTTTCACCAGCCATGTGTATAAAACAAAGGTAAATTCAAGGAAGTTTGTTTTTGTTTTTGTTTTTGTTATCTTAACGTGCCATAGGTATAGGTACGAGGTATATAGAAGGAAGGAGTGAAAGATCTAAGACTTATGGCGAAAGAAACTGGTGATGATGATTTCAGTGATGTGAGACTGGGAGGTGTGGGAAGAACGGAAGGGGATGCCCATATCTCCGATCAGAAGAAGGCGGTGAAGGGAGACCCGATTGAGAGTTTCGATGGGGGGAGAATCAAACAAGATGGACAGAGAGAGATAGGGACAGAAGCAGTGGTGGCTATTTTTCTTTCTCGCTGGATTTGTTTTTTGTGAGAAAAATGGACTGTGTTGGGTTTATATTAACGTTTTTTAGATTGGAAGAGAGTGTTTTATTTGATGTTATTTTTGTTAATTAATGTGTTATTTAGTAATTTTATGGTTTACTAGTTTCTCTTTTTCCCCCACCAACTTTTTTTTTTGGCTTCTCATGTAAATAGCTAGATGAGATGAGACCACGTGAATGTAGAAGGAAAGGTTTTTAAAAATAATTTGTAGACAGTATCATTATTTTATTTTATTATATTGTTGAGCTAGGACAATGAGATCCACTATAAAACAATTTTAATATTGATTCAATTATGAGGGAAGAGAGGAGATTAGAAGTAATCAAAATCTCTTATGAAATAGTTTATATTAGGGTATTAGTTAGTTTATTATTGGACCTTACATCTCTAACTCCAATTTTCCTTTTTGTATTATATAAGTTGTATTCCGATCATTTTTAGCCTAATGAGAAAACACATTCTTTTATTCATTTTTCCCCCCTTTAGGTCCAATGGACTAAATATGGGGTAAGGCTAATAATGTAATATGGTATCAGTAGTAAAATTTTAGAATTCGTTTTCATTCTTCCGCCACAAATCTTCTCCACATCTCTTTTTCCAGGCTTGAGCGAGAATGTTATCCGATTTTAAGAACAATGACGACGACATCAATAAACCCACAAACACCAATGAAACCACCGTCAAAGACCCTTCTCAAGATTCCGAAAGCCTTTATTTCCTTTACTCGAGTGAAAATCCTGGTGTTGTTCTTGTTGCAACTCTGCTTATTGATCAAAACTATCATAATTAGAGCCGATCCATGAAACACACTCTCTCCTCCAAGAACAAGATTGCGTTCGTCAATGATAAACTCCCAAAACCTGCACCCATACTCCAATTTTGACCTTTGGGAGAGATGCAACAATATGGTAATCTCTTGAATCACTAACACATTATTTCCACCAATCTTTCAGAGTACCATATGCATTGAATTCGCCTTTGAACTTTGGAAAGATCTTGAAGATCGCTTCATAAAAGGTAAAGTTTTTAGGATTTCAGATCTTCTCCGTGATCTTCATTCAATTCAACAAGGTGAACGTAATATTTCAATTTACTTCAATGATATAAAAATCCTATAGGATGAATTGGAAGACCTTCGACCTACTTCGATTTGCTCATGACTAGTTTGGTGCACATGCTCACTCTTAACTTCAATCAAAGAATTCAAGAACACAGAGTACATCATCTGCTTCCTCAAATGGCTCAACGAAAATTATGTACACGTTCATACCCAGATCCTTCTAGAGGTTAGAGGCAGAGGTTATCATACCCCTATACTGTGCACCAACTGCAACAAAACAAATCACATCGTTGATCATTGCTACTTCAAACATGGATTCCCCCCCGATTATCATCCCAAGACTAACACAAACAAGACCATTTCATCCAACCATGTCACCAACTCAAGAACTTCTACCATAGAAAGGCCTTGAAAATAATGAAACTCATGCATCCAATATGACACCAACATTCCTCTCTTTAAAGAAGATTATCAATACTTAGTCTATCTTTTGAAGTCATCACATTCATAATCATCAAACATTAACAAGTATTCAGATTCACATCTTACAAATCACGTTGTTTCAAGCATCCACAAATCGAGTAATACCTTAACTTTACCTTCTATTTGAATTTTAGATTCAGGGGCAAGTGATCATGTTTTCCCTCATTTGCATTCTTTCAAAAACCTTTTCAAAATCAAACATATTTCTGTTTATTTTTCCTAATAGTAGTAATCTGCTAGCATACTATTGTTGCACTATACAATTTTTAGATCAATTTACCATACACAGTGTGTTATTTTTACCTCAGTTTCATCTCAACTTAATGTCTATTTCACAAATTACTAAGAAACTCAATTACCAACTTACCTTTTCCCATGATTCTTGTTACATCCAGGACCTATCTACCCAGAAGATGATTAGACATGTTAGGCTTTTCAATAATCTCTACATTTTCAACATTCTCAAAAGGGTCACAATTTCATGGATTTCAAGTTTCCGGTTGCTACCAATAATGTCAGATTTGATCACAATCAATTTGTCAATACTATTTTAAGATCTTTACCTGCTATCACCTTTGGCATGTGACACTTTAGACTAGGCCAATTGTCTAATTCGGTTTTACGACAATTATGTAACAAATTTCCCTATATTTCTGGCAATAAAAATACTATTTATGATTACTGCCATATGGCCAAACAAACCAAACTTCCCTTCCCCCCATAGTGACACACTTTTTATCACATGTTTTGATCTCTTACACATGGACATCCGGGGTTGTATTAGCAGTCATTCTATAGTTGGTTATCAATATTTATTAATCATTATTGATGTTTTTTCTCGTTTTACTTGATTTTTTTTATTGAAAAACAAGGATGAAACTAGAACATGTTTTGAAATTTTTTAATTTTTATTTCTACATAATATTCAATTAATGTAAAGACAATAAAGATTTATAATGGATTAGAGTTCAAAATGCACCTCTATTCTCCTCCTTAGGAATTTTACACCAAACCTCTTATGTAAAAACACCTCAATAAAACTCCAATGTTGAGAGAAATCATTGACATTTACTAAACGTTACTAGAACCTTACTTTTTCAAGCAATCTCCCAATTTTTTTGGTCGTATGCTTTACTTCATGTTGTTTTCATTATGAATTGCCTCCCCAACCCTGTTATCAAACAACAAACACCTTATTGTGATACCAGAATTTTGTCCTACCATCTATCTATTCTTTAACTTATCTTGCATCTCTTTCATTTTTATGTTTAGGTCAAATTGAGCTTAGGATCAATTCGACCATGACCTTTCATCTCATCCATTTTTGCATTGCATTGTTACTCATAAACCATTAGACAAGATGGATTTAGAGTTCAACAAAGCTAGTGTTTGCCTTTGTCATTTTTTTACATAGCTTCTACGATCATTGCATTGTCATCAGTTAGATTCTCATGCCACATTTCATGCATATGATTTGCCTGTTTTTGGTCATTTTTGCTCTTGTTCAAGACTTAAAGATTTCGCACATCATTAGGATTTCAGTGATTAGTTTGTTATAAAATGTTTTAATATTCAACACAAGAGATTAGGGAAATAAGACTTTTAATTGATTTGAAATTTTACATGCATTCATTTAAGGTCTGAAAACAAGTTAAAACAATAAGTCATTAGGTTCCCAAATCATTGTCAAGTGGATTTTGTGTTAAACTTGCATTGCATTTTCTTTTTCATTAGCTAGCATACACCATATAGTCTATTTAAATTGCAAATTTATTAAATTAGTTTTTTCATAAATAGGTGTACATACAAGTTTTACATTACATATTTTTAAATTTTACATAATAATACAAAGAAATATTTTAAATATACAAAAAGAAAGAAAAATAATTTCATTTGGTTCCATTGGCTTTGGCTCATACACACATTTCCCCTTCACAAATGCATCACTATCCTCATGCCAATATCCTCTTCCTCATATCATCATCATAATCACTATCATCATCATCATCATCTCTTGCACACACCTAACATCATATACCAAGCCATCAACATACATCAAGATTGAATTAACATGAAAATGAAAACAAGCAACACCATTCACAACTTACACATCACCATACATAAAATTGCATTAACATGAATGAAGTAAAATAAGTAGAACAAATTAACAAAAGCATGAAATGTGTGAGTATCCATTAATCATATCCCATAGATTTATCTTCACACAATTGAAATTGGAATAAAATGAAAACAGATTCAAAAGCAGCTACAAAACGTGTGAATTTCATATGCACACAATTAATCATCATCCATACATTCAAAGAAACACAATTCTAACAACCTTCAATCCTCATAATTCATCCCCACCTTTCCTGAAATTAATCTAATGCAGATCCTCAACAAAACTCCCTCCAAATTGAAGCTAATAAAATATTTTTCCTCTCTTTTCCACTAATTAATCACCCGACTCAACTACAAAATGAGCTCTTCACTACCCGTAATGGACACTGTCGCGGTGAAATTTGGATATCAAACTATTGATTAGTTTGAATCTTTAATTCATTTTGCAACCGAACTTTGATTTGTCCAAAGGAAGGGATAAAGATCGAAATTCCCACAATGCAATGCAAATGCAAGGTTTAGATTGTTTAGGTTTGGGGGTTGGTTAAACTTAGGGAAGGTACTAACATCCTAAGTTTCTGTAGTACTCTACAGGAACCTCTTGTTTTATGTTTGTTTATTGCTAAGTGCTTATCTGCTTAAAGGATTAGAGACCCTAGTGGTTTATTTCTAAGTATACTCGATAAGATGTCGCATCTTATGCCTACATATCCTTACGGGAGTGGAATCAGAGTACTTGTAGTTCCCCTAAAGGGTTAGAGGAGCTCTTTGACTGTGGTCAAAGTTCCTACGGGTTTAGGCTAGTTGTTTTGATTGGGTTTAGAAGAAGAGATGAGTCTTCATTTTAAGGGAGATGTAACCACCACAAGTGTAAAAGGGGGTTGTAGGAAAATAGTCTTTGCATCGTCTTAAGAAAAGGGCTTAAGTACTCGGATTGTTTGACGAGTATGCCTTTATCACTCTTAAGGCAAAGTTCCTACATGTTTG